ATCTAAGTTTTTCGTCAGTGTGTCAAACAGGACAGTTTCTCTAATGTCCGTTGCGCACGTCCAGTCATGCTGTATGAAATGCATCAGCAGATATTAGAGTTAATCTATTATCGAGGGAAATTGTGACCTCCCCCCCCCCCCCCCCCCGCAGGAAACCCCGGCTGCAGCTGGAATCACTATCACCTTCTCTGGCTCCCAAAACCCCTGTGCTGCCCTCATCACCCCATAGGTCCTATGGCATAGGAGCCCCTAGGCCCGGGCCTGATGCATTCTGGGTCCCCAGTCACCCAGTGCAAGGAAAGGGCACCCCAGCTGAAGGACTCTGGGGTGGAGGACCAGCGCCTCCCACAGGCTACTCAGAGCTCGTGGGTCCATGCTGGCTTCTCGTTTACTAGTGTGACACCAAGTGAGTCATGGGATCCAGGGCTGCTCCGAGCCTCAGTTTCCTTCTCCGTGAAGTGGGGGTTTGAAGGGACTCACTGAAGAGTTCTGTGAGGAGTAGAACGTGCCTGCACATGGTCAGACTCACAAGGCCTGGCTGTGAGGGGCCCGCGCCGTGGCCTGAGGCGGAGGAGGCTGCTGGAGCTGGAGCTGGAGGCGTGGGCTCCCGGGAAAATAACGCTTCAGCCTGGCCCTTCCCTCAGGGGTGTCAGTCTGACCCACAGACAGGGAAGGGCGGGTGGGAGGTCCCTCCCCAAAACTCCCAGGCAGCCGGGTTAGAAAAGGGCAGGCCCTTGGAATCACGCAAAACACCACCGCGGGCAGGGGAATCAGAGGCGGCTTCCCAGTGGAGGGGGAAGTTCCCGTTCAAGTTCACAAGGTGACAAGGTGCAGAGTGAAGTGTCCCCACCTTTGTCCCCTGCCCCCTGGGTCCTCCCAGGACTCGGTACCGTCTGTACCCTTGCAGGACGAGGCGATGGCTGTCCTTTCTCCCTCCCCCACCCACCTCTGTGACCGAGCACCCCGAGATCCAGGTCCTTCCACAGCAGCGCATGGAGAGCAGCCTGGTCCTTATGTGTCTGCAGAGTCTCCACCAAATGATACTCCCACTTCGCTCGCCCCGCTGCAGGCCTTCCAGGCTTTTGCATTGACAGTGCAGATCCCCGCACACAGCCTTTCCCACCCGCACAAGTGTCTCTGAGGAAGGCAGGCCCAGAGGGAGATGATGGGCTGAGGGCACCGTCACAAAAACAGGCCTGCCTGCTGCCCGCCGCACTGCCCTCCCCTCTGTGGGAGCCCCAGCAGCCGAGCCAGCCTGTTCCCGCCAGGATGACGTTAAAGAGCAGGGGACCCAGGGGTGGAGAGTGGCCCCCGAGCGGGTCTGTCTCGTGGGTAAGGTGCAGAGAGGGGAGCCACAATTAACGCGAAGGGAGAGGGGGACGGGGTGAAGCAGCTGCTGTGTGGTCAGGGAGGGTGTGCCCGTGCCGGGCCCGGGCGCCAGGACTGCTGGCCACACGGAAGGGCTCTGAGCTGGGCTCGCAGTCAAGTGCTCAGGCCGAGAGCATAGCATGCCTGGGTTTAAATCCTGCTCTGCCACTAATTTATTGACTGAGTCACTTGGCCTCTCTAAGGCTCATTTTCCTTATCTGTAAAATGGGTCATAAGAGCTGCTCCCTAGAGTGAGATACTTCACCCAGAGCCCCATGCTTGGCACCTACGAGGTGCTCAATAAACAGTCCCTGCGAGCCCCCGGTTGTCTTCTGCTCAGCCTGACAATACGCATGAGCCGGGCGAATGTCTGCTGCCTGCGGGTGTGAGCAGAGGACAATGCCAGTGCCAGGAAACCGGTGCCGCCCCCGGGGCCGCGGCTTGGGGCGGCCACAGCGCCTCTTCAGACCTCTGCTGTCTCATCTGACCAGCAGGGATCTGCCCCTGCATGTGTGGTGATGCTTGAACGAGGGGCCATGTCTGTGTGCACCAGCCTTGGAAGCCGGTGCTGGCCAGGGGAGGGGTGCTGGCCAGGGCAGGGCGGGCCGGGGCGGGGCGGGCGGGGCAGCACCTCCACAGCCTCCTCTGGACCAGCCGAGCAGCCGGCTGGTTGTGATAAGTGACAGTTATAAACAACCAACAACACAGATGGCCGGGCTCCGTGGAGAACCCAGCAGGGGACCCTGGCAGAGGGACAGGAGCCTTTTCTAGCCACATGACAGGACAGTCATAAACGCAGGAGTCATAAGGTCACGATGAGAAGCACACTCACTGAGTGTGTATGATGTTATTTAACCCTCAAAATAGCCCGGAGAGAAAATATTTTCGAAACACATCTCTGTAAAGGGCTTATACCTGGAATACAAAGAATCATAAGAAAACCAATAACCCAACTTAGACAATGTGCACAAGACCTTAGATACCTCACCAGAGAAGACACCCGGATGGCAACTGAGCTACATCCTTAGCTTCAGGGGACGCAGACTGGAACCACAATGAGAGGCCACTGCGCACCAACGGGAGGAGCGAAAACGTAAAAGACTGACAGTGCCTCATGTGGGACAGGCTGTGCCACCCTGGAACCCTCCCACACTGCTGGCGGGAGTGCAAAGCGGCACGACCCCCGGTGCGCAGGGTGACAGTCTCCGATGAAATTAAATATACACCTACCTGCAGCCCAGCCCCTCCACTCCCAAGAGAAATAGAAACCACACACAAAAACCTGTATGCAAATATGTATAGATTTATTCTAAGTAAAACAAAGAACTCAAAAGTCCATGAATTTTGAGGATGGAAAAACCAGTTATGGAACACTGGCCAATGGAATACCACTCAGCCGTGAAAAGGGAACGAACTACAGGCACAGGCAACAACGTGGGCTAGTGTCCAGTGCATGAGGCCAAGTCCAAGAAGCCAGGCTAAAAGGTGACATCCATCTGATTCCCTGGCAAAGGCACACTGCCGTGACACACACAGGCCGGCCGCCACTGAGGCGGGGTTACCTGCAAAGGGCATGAAGGAGATGTGAACGTGAATGAAAGCTCCGGGTGACTTCTGTGGTGGTCATTGCAAAACTGTATGCGTCTGTCACACATCATCAAACTTACATTGACTGGGGGGATTTCATTGCATGTAAATCACACCTTATTAAAGCCAGAGGACGAGAGAAGCCTGTTTGGTTAAGAAAAGAAGCCCAAACAGCTGGGGCCATTCCTGCTGTTCCAGAGGAGGAAACGGAGGCTCAGCAGGATGGTGCGACGGCTCCAAGGCTGCAGCAAACCCTGCAGGAGGAGGCGTGGTGGGGGAACCGAGGCACCGTAGGGCCCGGCTGCGGCTGCGAGAGGAGCTGGAGGCCGGGCCATGCCCTGGGGGCAGCCTGGGTGGCGCAGCGGCCGGTGCAGCTGAGGTTTCAGGGATTGCAGGGCAGAGGCACGTGAGGGTCACCTCACTAACTGCCCCCGAGCTGTGGCCCGAGAGGCAGGCGAGTCCCCAGTTCACACAGCAGAGCTGAGCCTTGGGCGCCAGAGCCGTGCTCTTGTTCTGGTGACGGAAGGGCAGAGGGGAGGCCCCGAGGACCAGCGTCACTCCCCAACTCCATGTGCACCTCAGTCCACCCATTTCTCCTCTCTGGGCTTCAGCCTCCACCTCTGTAAAGTGGAGCTACAATAGCGCCGCCCGCGGAGCTCCAGGAGAGAGGGGAGCCCAGGGTTGGAAAGTGCTGCCTGTGGCCTAGTCCCACCAGCCCAGACACCGGCTCCCGTCGGGGAGGAAATGGATTAGGAAGGGAGCCAGTGGGGAAAGGACACGCCCTCCTGTCCTTTGGGCCTCGGCTTTCCTTGCTGGCAGGGGAGCGAGCTGGGCTACATGACAGCTGGCAAACTGGGGTCATTTCCAGCCCCACAGACAGTCTGCTTTATTCCCAGGGTGGCTTTCTCCTACCCTTTCCCCCATTTTTTTTTTTTTTGGTTAATCCTCACCCGAGGATATTTTTCCATTGATTTTTAGGGAGAGTGGAAGAGAGGTAAAGACAGAGAGAAACATCAATGTGAGAGAAACACATCGACTGGTTGCCTCCTGCTGGAGCCCCAGCCAGGGCCCAGGCTGGGGAGGAGCCTTTAACCAAGGTACATGCCCTTGACCGGAATCAAACCAGGGACCCTTTGGCCTGCAGGCCGACGCTCTATCCACTGAGCCAAACCAGCTAGGGCCCCCCACCCATTTTTATTATGAGAAATTTCGAGCACATAAGTTGGAGCCTGGAGTGGCCGCTGCTCACACTTGTCCTCTGGCTCCCTGCTCTGCGCCTCTCTCCCGTGCAGACACGAGCTGTTGAGGGGAACTCATTGCCATCATCCTCATCTTTTGTTCCTAACCCTCAGCACGTAGCGCCTGAGAACAAAGACATTCTGCTTGTAAGCACGATGCGGCTCACCAGCGAGGGAACAGCGGCGATCCCACAGACACCTAACACACGGTCCGTGTCCGAGTGCCTAACCAGCCCCAAGTGCCTTGCGTGGCTCCATTGTTCTGAGCCAGTATCTAACAAGAGTCACACACTCCACTTGGTTTTATCTCTTTCTCCCTCCATTTTTTATTTTGAAAAAAAATTACACCTCCAGAAAAATGCATGAATATGCGCCTGGCCCCACCGACTGCTGGCACTTTGCCTCCCTCTCCCCCCCTCTCCCCAAACCTTGAAGAGTTGGTGGCAGACACACATAATTGTGCTTTTTCATCCGTTGCCATCACTTAAACATCAGGAGAGCTCACTTAGTCTTTGATTTCCAGCTCCTACTGAAAACCCAGAGGCCCCGAGCAGGTCTCCAACACGGAGCAGTCAGCTGCAGTGAGCGGCAGCGCCCCTCTGGAGGGGCTCGCATAGCCCCCTTTGTCCGACACCCCGCCTGCCTCTCTCAGTCACGCAGGTTCAACCCTCCCTCCACTCCAGGCACGCTCCTGGGGGCTCCTGGCCCATCGTGGGGCGGGTCCTCCACCAGGTGTCAGACTCGGAACTTAGCCTCCCCACCACCAGGGAGAACGCTGACAGTTCTCAGACTCCCCAAGCCCAATCCCTGCCTCTCAGGGCCCCGAGCACTCTACACAGCACCTGGCCCACAGGGAGCACTCAGGAGGTGTGGCTGCGGTGTAAGCTTTCTCAGAAGACAGGCACATACATGTATGAACAGAATCCCATGTGGTGAAAAAGTGGGAACTGACCTACATGCAGGGAACTAACGGATTAGATAATCATTGTGTCCTTAAGATGCAAGAGTCGGCAGCTGAGACAAAGATGCTACATTTAGAAATGACCCAAAAGAACACACACAAAAAAGAAAATTAAAAAAAGTTTTTAAGAACTGACCCAAGTAGCCATCAATAAAGGACCGTATCAAAGGGAATGGTTAAGTCTAGTCCTCTGCTAGGACATCATGGGTTATATGTGGAAAACTAGAAAAATTCATAAGAAATAAGTAAAAAGGCATCCCCTCTGTGTGGAGGCAGATTGTTCCTAATTGCAAATATATATGCATACATATATACATATACATATATATATACATATACATATATATACTTACTTATTCTTACTTTATTTTTATGGGGTGTTGTGTGTGTGTGTGTGTGTGTGTGTGTTTTAGTTTAGAGGGAGAGAGAGGGAGAAACATCAATTGGTTGCCACACACACACACACACACACACACACACATGCCAACTGGGGTTCAAACCCCCAACCTGGGCATGTGACCTGGCTGGGAATTGAACCCACAACCGTTTGGTTCTCCAACCAATTGAGCCACACTGGTCATGACTGCCTGTATATATTTTGTTTTGATTTTGAAACATGTGACTATATTACTTAGCCAAAAATTGAATTAAAAATATCATTAAAGAGCCCTGACCTCTGTTGTTCAGTGGTTAGAGCATCAGCCCACGCAATGAAAGGTATCATGTTCAATTCACTGTCAAGGGCATGTACCGGAGTTGCAGGTTCATTCCTGGCCGGGTGGAAGTGTGTGTGGGAGCCAACCAATCCATGTGTCTCTCTCACATCGATGTTTCTCTCTGTCTCTCCCCCTCCCTTCCACTTTCTCTAAAAATCAATGGAAAAAATATCCTCAGGTGAGCATTAACCAACAAACAAACAAAACAACCCATCAAGGGTGGGCAAATTGTAGTAAAAGCCTACAATGGAATACTACTCAGTAATGAAAAAGGTACCCTCAATATAGATGAATCTCACAGACAAGATGAATGAAAGAAACTGTACACTAAACAGTATATACCATGTGGTTTCAATGATGTGAAATTCTGGGAACAGCTAGAAGTCAAGGTAGTAGCGACTTCCAGGGGTGGGACACGGCTCAGAGGGGGCAATGGAAACCCTGGCATTATTCATCTTGCCTGGGTGGTGGTCACCTGGGAGTGAACAGCAAGTTTACACTTTAATTAGCAAACGAGTAAAAAGTAACCTGTAGTCCCGTGACTCCGTGCTGCAGCTACCGGTGGGAGCGAACACGGCTTCCGATGGGAGCCGGTGCAGGGGCAGCAGGGGCCTGGCAAGTTCTCTTTCCAAAAAGAAATTGGACCCCGAGAGTCCTGTCTCTCCCAGCAAGTCCCTGGTCTTGTTGGGACGCCCTTTCCCCATCTTTGGCTTGAATCCAGGCATCTCCAAGGCCTCTGCCTGCGATTCTGCCTCTTGAGGGGCGGTGGCCTTGCGCTCCTATCTCAACCCCACAGCCGGTCACCTGGGCGGGGCCGCGGGGCGCCTCCCCGCGGTCTCGCAGGCCCTGGGCTGCCCCTGGCTCGTCTGTAGTCACGGTACCTGTTTCTCAGCTGAGCTCACCGAGTCCTCACCGAACCTCCCTGGAGCTCAGCAGGGTTTTGCTAGGCACAGGCCGCGCACGCAGCAAGTGCTGAATAAATGGTGGCTGCGAGGGAATCATTGGACTTTTCCTGCAGATCATGATATCTCTCTAAGTAGGGGTCCGTGTGGGGCCCAAAGTTACCCGTGAATCAAATGCAAGAGGGAAAAGTGGCCTCTGGCGGACGCGGCGCGCGCGGTGTTTGGAGCGCCCAGCGGCGCGCAGGGGGCGGGCCTGGCCCTTTAAGAGCGGACGGAATGTATCAAAACAAACCGGCCGGCACCCACTGGCCGCGCGCGGCACGTGACCCCGGCTGGGCCCGCCCCCTTTTGTCGGCCGCGTCCGAGTGTCAGTGTCGGCGCCGCCGCCGCGGTATCCGGTGCGGGTCCCGGCCTCCCCGCGCCGCCGCCCGTGCCCCCGCCGCCGCGCCCCGCCCCTCGGCCCGCGCACTGCCCCGCGCGCCCCGCCTCGGAGCCGCGCTGCCCGGGGCCTGCGGCCTCGTCCCGTCGCGGATGGCGCACTCGCCGGCCGCCGTGCCAGGAGCGCAGGAGCCGGGCTGCCCCATCCGCGTGGAGCACGACCGTCGGCGCCGCCAGTTCACCGTCCGGCTCAACGGTAAAACGTGCCCGGTTGTCCCGCCCTTTGTCTGCGAGGGACGGACC